CGTTATTTGTCGAAAGGCCCATCCATACGAAGTTGCAAGGTCGCTCTTTATAAACTCAAGTACAAGAATCTTAAAACGTTCAGCATGATTCCAGGCATATTTATCTAAACCCTATGGTAGGGTCCCTTCACGACTGCTCTTCTGCCAGTTGAGTAAGAAATATTATGCCGCACAGCGGAAGAACGGAATCCTCGATGACTGACAGACTTCAATAGAAGTCGTCAAGGATTGTACGTCGGACGCCGTCTTGTAGTCAGACCAGGCGTTGACTTACAGCTTAATTTTCCTCTGCCTAATATACGAGGTCCTAAATACCGTGTTCTGAAACCTGCCGACTAAGTCTATTATGAGGAAGGTATTGACATCACATCACCAAAGCCGGACCACTCATCAATGCAGCCGGCACCCGTGTAGCCAATTACCGTCAGGGCTGTTCAATTTCAACTTTAATATAATCAGTCATCTATCCATTTACCTGCTACCGCAGGGCCTGCGTTTGTCCAGAATGGCCAAGTAAAGAGAGCTAACACCGTAGCGCACATGGTAGACTCAGATTATAGCGTGGATGCCAAAAAGGTTTGACGAGTGGTCTACAAGGTAACCTCAAGCTATTCAAAATTCTTTGGACAGCGTCTGTTGGCTTCAGCTGCCATCAGGTTACGTAAACCGGTTATGTGCGCCCAAAAATGCTTCATAACGGCGCCGCAGTTACTGTGGCCTAACGTCGCTGATTCAACCGCCCACAGCTTATTACCCTTCCCTGTGACCATTTCCCCTTGACACTGACCATATTGCTGTTCCTAATTTTGCCCCCCTCCACGACCTGACAATCGCAGTTTGTTTTGCTGAACCCGCATATTTTATTTACTCTACAACAATATAAATGCGCAGTACTTGTACTTGTTACTTACGCAGGCGTGAAGAGAATCTACCGAAAGCAAACGTATGCTAGCCAATTCACCTTTCAATATTATCTAGTAAAACCGAACAAGCAGTTCAATCTTCGAAAGCAGCGCAGCTTTACATAGCACGAGATAAACCCTGAAAACGGCGTGAGAAATTTGACTCTGGGTCGAAA